CTCTGAGTCGCTTCAACAGTGAGGTTGTGATACTAAATAGCTTTGTGTTCCCTATTATTATTATATAAATGACAACTCATTGTTGACCATCTAACTATGTCAATTCACCTCTTCCCCATATGGTCTCTCCCTGTTTTGTCTCTTCACATATACTGACCTTTTCCCCCTTGATGGCTTTTTTGGTCTTTTTCAGTGTTGTGAAATCTAGACCATTTTCCATTCTTAATTGGGGTGAGTACCCTTGAAAAACATTGTTGACACTTGAAAAAAAATTAAATGAACTAGAACTTGAAAACTTTACTTCTCAGTAATCAGCTTGCTTTTCTTACTACAAAGTAAGACCACATTTTCTCTTTTCTATCCTGACCACTGTCTTATTATGTGAGCATGATCCCATGTCCCACTAAGCCTTTAGGATCACTAGATCCTTCATAAGCATGTAAGTACACATTAGTTCATGAAGTAACAAACAGATGGGACACCTAATTGAAATGAAAGGTTTAGCCAATTGATCCATTTATAGACCACACATGTACAGAGGATCCCTCAAAATGGTCTGGTCTCCCTCACAATGAGTAAGATCATTGAGGTCATAGTCTGAGTCTTCATCAGGGACTTAACACACCCAGAGCACCCAGTTTTATAAATATAACAAGTGCACAGTTAGTGATTTTAACTGTCCATTTAAGGAGCTAAACTGTCCATTAGAAAGCAGCATTTGTAAATTCCTGCTATGAGTGAGACCAGGCGATATTTTTCTTTTTCTTTCTAGCTTATTTCGCTAAGCATGATCCCTTCCAGTTCCATCCATGTTGCTGCAAATTGCATGAGTTTATCGTTTTTGTTACTGAGTCTCACTCATAGCAAGAATTTAGAAAACCTAAATAAAGGACCAGCAAAAAACCTAATTATAATAAAGTAAAAATCAAAATCAAGAAGCAGCTATAAACCAGAAACACATGGGGCGGCAGGTAGGGAGAAGGGAGTAGGATCAAAACAAGGGGGATGGGAATTGTATGGGGACTATAACCAAGATGAAAATGCATACATTGTGCAAAAATGAAAAATGATGTAAAAAATGTATAAAATATTTTTTAAAAGGCAGCATTTGGGGTTGTCTTGGAATGGTAATATTGGGTCAGTCTGTTAATAATAATAGTGTATTCCCTATGGAAACCGCAAAAACACAGTCATCAACAATTTGGCCTATAGAGTCAAGACTGCATGACCTCAGATCCTAGCTCTACATAGACACTCCCTGGTTGGATGACCTTGGAGAAAATCTTTCCTTCTCCCAGTAGATTTCTAAACTGAAAAATGGAGAAAATAATCATACCTACTTTATAGGGCTGTTGGGGAACATAAGTGAGATCTATAAGCACACACTAAGTGATTATTAAGACATTTATAAGAGCATCTGGCTATCAGTAGCTGTGATTTGGAGTATTTTCCATGTGCCAAGGAGTTTGAAAAATGTTTTACATTTATTTAAATAAATTTAATTCATTTATTTAATCACAACAACATGACCCTTTGATTGATAAAATGAAATTGAGAAAAGTTCGGCACATTATCCAAGAAAGCACAACTGATTAGTGATAGGGTGGAATTAAAATCAAGTTTGTCTAACTCCAAAGTCTGACTGCTTAGCTCTTTCAAAGAATTCACATGAGACAAAATCGATATTTTGAAATAATATGATCACTAACAAACCATTTACTTTTACAGGCACTTCAAGACTGAAAGAAAAAAAAACTTAAAATATTCTGTAAGAACAGCAGATGTGTCTTGTTCTTATGTAAAAGGTATTTATACAGTGGGTAATGCAAAGCCGTTTCCTTTATATTTTATTGCTTTATTCTCACATTGACCCTGCGATTTTAAAATGAGGAAATGACAATAAATGCTAAAGTTCTTTTAAAAATATAGTGTCAGACATGTGACACCAATACCAGTAAGACTTTCTGAAATGTAAATCTATGCCACTGCACTGCTTAAAAATCTTTCAATGATTCCCTGCCACTTATAGCATAAATAGTCCAAAACCCACTATTACATGCAAGCTTCTTTACAGTTTCAGCTACTCCTTACCAGTCCCATGCTTTAGCCACACATAGGGCTTGCCGTTCCCATTAAAACTCATCTCCCTAGCTTTGTTCCTTTAGTTCTATCCCTCTGAAGTGGCCTTCCCTTTCACCCAAATTCCATCAAGCTCTTTAAATCTCACCTCAAGTGGCACTTCCCCTTAGAAACCTTTTAGGAACCTCCCATACCTCCTTTCTCCCTCCAAGTTAATGAGACGCTCCCTCTCTCTAGTCTTTTGATATTAGGTACTTAACAGTCATTACAACTCATCTCTCAAACCATGTTGTAATTGTTTAACACATCTATTTCTCATGTTAGCCTACAACTTCTTTAAAGGCAGAGCTGGATTTGATTTTATTCCAGGGGCTCAATAAATATCTGTTAAATGTAACTAAATTAAGGTATCCCACAGATCATATAGTCTTATTAACTCTAGACATATTTAAATTCAACTCTATTTTTATAAGGCTAAAAGCAAACAAAAATCCTACACTTTCAGCTAATTTATTATCAAGTAATGAACAGCACAGACCTCCTGACAGACCCCCTGTCTGAATCTTACCCCATGTCTTGAACGGGGATGAGTTTCAGAGATGCGCTGAGTATCATGCAAAGTTTTAGAAATGTCTAATAAAGTTAGAAGTCGAAAGTTTCATGGTACATTTCAAACTATCCACCGAACCAAATTCCCTCAGTACCCTGTACCCTTATTGTCACACTGAGTTAGCAGTGGCCAATTTAATACATATTATATCTGATCTCATAATTTAGCCTCATTATGAGCAAACTGTGGCCCCCCGAGTCTATGCTCCATGTATGACTATAGATTATGATTTATGTAGCAAAACAGCCAATTTACCAATATTTATTTTAAACACAGTGGTATACTTCCCTAATAGGGATACTTATTCTGTTTGTTGTTTTGTTCTGCTTTTGAAGAATACGCATAATCTTAGAAGTAAGTAACTCTGAAATCTCAAGTGCATTCACTACCAACAACTTTACAGCTAGCCCCACAAATCACTCAGCCAATATCTTACAAGGAATAAGACATGGCCCCAAGCCCTCAGCGTCTACAGTCTACAAATATCACGTGTACTTCCACTGCATCCCATTTGAACCCCCGCTTCATCCATTTCTACACCTACAGTATATACTGACAGTTACTACCACCAGCTTCTCATGACTTCCTGCTTAGTACAGTCTTCCCAATTTATGATCTCATTCTCCCTGACAAACATCTGCCTTGTCCTCCTCTCATCGCTCTTCCTTCACTACCAAAAAGCAAAATATCCATCTCTGAAACCACTACCAAAACTCTGAGGCCAGAAGCACCTTCTACCTTCCGTAAAAAAGCACTGAATAGGCATCTTGTTTTGATGTCTCAGCCTTTTCACAAAGCCCCAACAATTTCTCTCACAAACCTACCTTCCCTTTTGGCTAAGCCAAACATCTGGTACTGGCATCCTTTCCCTTATGCTTCAGAGCTGTGATGGGGGGTGGGGAGAGGAGTTGGAGGGGAGGTGGTCTCAAAAGGGCAAGGAGTTAGGCCTAAGTGACTAAACACTTTTTGGTGACTAAACACTTTTTTGATACTGGAGAACAGTGGTGAAGGCCAGGTCTGTCCAGCCCTCTCCCAGGCTACCCTGTGCACTCTCACTTGGCTCCCAAACAGTCTCCATTCTCCATCCTCTCTCCTCCTTCCTCCCAGCTCCACCCCTGCTTTCAAAGGCCTGGGTGAGACAAGCCAGCATCTCACAACAGAAGCCAAAAGAAGCTCAAGGCTGTTGCCCCAGAAACCCAGACTAGAGAAAGGCTAGGCTGGGCGCTGTTTGTTTTTCCAGTAATCAGAAAATTCCACTGGGGGGACTCTAGGGGGACTCTCAGTAGCCTCGGAGCTGGGATCTGAGCTAGTCCCCAGTAGCTGAGAAAGATAAAGTACCAACTTTTCATTATAGTGGCAAAGCAAAAGAAACTGAGTGGGAGGGGCCTTCCCAGAATTGAGAGCCTAGGAGGAGGCTGGAAAGGAGGCCCAGCTGCTGGCTGCAGAAACCAACTGGTTTTCCGCCTTTGCAAGGGCACCCTCAGGACTTACTTCATCCTATCCCATTACCACTTCCAAGAGGAAAAAACTTAGTGAGGGAAAAAAGGAGTAAACCATCACCCCAGGAAGCAACTGTCAGGCACACAGCACAGCACTGCATGTTTGGAGGATTGATTTCCACAGCGTTCTCAGTTTTCCTCTGAGTAAAAACAAGCCATCACTTCTGGTTCTGGTTTTACAGCCAGTGCAAGGAAACACCAGGTAACACAGAACAGAAATACTGGCACCTCCCTTATATTAATTAATCAAAACTGCTTGATAGCTAAACCCTCAAAGGCATTAGGGACAGAAAAACGCTATGTACACAGATGACAAAGATGCACACTGAAAAAAAAAATAGTATTCAAATTGCTGGAATATGCTCTGCAATCCTGGGTACCAAACTGCCCGAATCTCCTTCAGTTAAATATGCGTGGCTCAGTATCCCTGGGCAAAAATTAAAATGAAGGCTACTCTCTCACAGTTTCCAGTAAATAGGCTAGGAATCATTGGCGTTAATACTTTTCAGATAGTCACGATGGCCACCGCACATATATAGGAAAGTTTAATGCAGATTGTAAATATATCCTCGCACTTCAAAGGTATCGATTCTTCCAACCAGAAGACAGGGCCAAACAGCTTAGTCACCAGCAGTCGGGGCAAATCGCTCTGTCGATACATCGGGGCATAAAGTAAACACGGTCATCTTCCTCCCCCACCTAGAGCACAAATCCCTGCACCCGCGCACCAGCTCCCAGATAATGGCTGAGGCGCAGATGGGTGAATTTCCGCAACTCTGGTCCCGGCTTCACCCCTCCCCCCAAGCGCTTACCTGCTATCCTAAGCACTGCCCGCTCGGCAGGGTCCAGCACCGAGCCCCCGTGAATCTTTCTTTTTGATCTCTCATGTTTAGGCAAATTCCAGGGTAAGGTGTCTCCAGGAGCTGGAGATGCCGAGCCAGATTTCTGGCTGAAATCATCCTCATCGGAAAAATCCGCAGAGGAAGACATAGAGCAGCGATAGGACGCGTTCCCGGAACTCTACAGAGGATGACACAGAAAAAAAGCATTATCGGCAAAACACTCACATAGGCTGATCGATTTCCACGACCCCCTCCTCTTGTCCCCAAACTGAGTCTGGCATCCTGCACCATCCTCAGCGCAGAGGGGCTACACAAGCCAGAAACGAAACCCAGGACTCACCATCTTTTCTGGGCCGGCTCGCGGACAGCAGAAACAATACCAGGGATTTGCAATACATGGGAGATTTGCACAGAAGTGTGTGGCCTGCGGTCCGGCCACCAGCTCACAAATGACTGGCCCAACAATGAAGCCAGAATCAACAGCCTTCCTGTTACTAATCTATAGTATTTGGCTCCCCCACCAGGACAGGAGAAACATTTTCCACCACCAGACTGCTGGTTAATTCATTAATGCAACTAACTCCAAGTTTCTAAAACAAAACACAAATGCAGGATGTTGAGTCCTAAGTTCTTTCCGTTTCAAGTGCCTCACCACTGTAGTCGCTTTTCTGACCAGCTTTCAGTGCCTTGTCCTCTTTATTTAATTTTCTTCACAAGATTGAGGCAGGTTCCCAGAAAAAGGCAAGGAGTGGGAGGAAGGGTCACTTAGAAGAAGAGCCTTTTCTTAAGACCAGAAGAACACAAAAGACAGTTTTCTGGAGCCCAAGGCAGCTCCAATAAACAAACATCTGAACTCAGTTTAGAGTTCCTGAGATAATTTAAACTTCTAGCAAAGTTAACAGCTGCCAATAATGTAAATGAGAATGATGCAGTGCAGTGACAGGAAACAGAGTCCTTCTCAGTTCCTGGTCATTACACAGTGCAGTGGGAACACGAGGCCTGCACCAAGGCACTGTGCCTGAAGGTTAGCCCTCCTTTCATCTAGTGGGGACAAAGCTGCAGGGTCACCTTTCGCATAAAAGGAATCCATGTTCCATACAGGGAAAAAGCACAAGAAGTTATTCCTTCTTTCTTTACTGGACTGTATTTGTGATTATTTCGGGAGCCACCCCTTACTGATGAAACAAGAATGCTAACTATCCTGTGCTGAGAACAGGGTTATCAGTATCAAAAGGAAGTCTTCACTTTCCCACTTAGAATTCCACTTTGTTGCACCTTATGGGGGAAGAGGCAAACTAGTATAACTTAAATTCCTGAAATGTAACTTGCAGTCACAAACTCCTAAGAAGCAAGCTGCAGGCAGGAATCAGTGAGGCATGCTCCAATTTGAGCAAAAGAACTGGGCTGCTCACAAAAGCAATTGCAGCAAAAACAGGCTGTGTGAATAACATAGCTTGTGAAAGCACCCACCCAAAGCTTGTGAAATAAACTATAAATGAATCTGGACTATTGACCTTACCTTGGTCTATTCAGCTATGTTGCTATACACGGTTGACACCATCATTTTGAAAGTACAAAGTAAAGCATGTAAGATTTATCTTTAGCCCATTCTTTCCCAAAAGCAGTCTTCCACTTCATTTTACATGAAATTTCATTGCCTTAGCTAATTTATTTGTTTAGGTTTTGTATGTTTTCCTACTAGTAATAATGTATTAGGCAAATAAATAAATAAAAATTGATTTTCTAGAATCCATAGAGAGTTGTGAGTGGCATTAAGTTAGTCACAGTATGCTATTATCAACCTAATTTATTTTCCATGTGTGTCTGAAAATTCATCTTGAGCTCTCTGAGGTTGTGTTATTGACTGGGTCCGTGAAAAAGGGTGACATTCTTGAAGACTTTTAAAAGGGTATTGGGTTTCCTTGGTTGCCTTCTTTCTTCCCTAAAATGGCTTCTTACCTGTCCTTACTAAAGATCATCCTTTATTGTCAGATTATATATCTTGTTGTTGTCTACACTGTTTCAGGAGCTGAGCAATTTGATTGTTTATCTTTAAGACAGACTTACGAAATAACTGTTAAAGAACTCCTCCTTTTCAAAAACCACTGGCTATTGATTTTTGTAAATAGAGTAAATTTTTTTAATGCCCAGAGTCTCAGCTGATTGAACAGCAAAATGTGATTTATGCCATGACATAAACACCATTAATCACATGTAGCCAGATGGGAACAGTTACCAACCCTGGACCCAAGGGTGTTGAGTGGTGAAGCCTCTAATCTGACAATGTCATTGGTAAACAGATAAGACAAAAAAGGAAGAAAAGACAATCCACAACACCTCTTTCAGCACTATAGCACAGAAAACTGAAGAAAATCATACATATTCACATATGATAAGCTTAGCTCTGAGTCAAGAATTTTAATAATTAAAGCATTAGATTTTCTTCCACAATAATTTTCATAAACACTTTAAGAAATATATGGTACACTTTCTAAATTAGGTTCATTTGAACCTTGAAAACTCATAAATTTAAATGAAGCAACTCTGAAGTCAAGCAATCCTATAAAACTATTATATTCTTTATTGATTTGAAGTGCTGATTCATGTCACTATGTTGGGAGTTGTCACTATCTTGGGAGTTAGAAGAAAGAGAGTAAGAGTGTAGTTTTCTTTTCTTTTGGAAAAGGCAAGTGTGTTCTCTGACTTGTAGTCCGGAGCCTAAACATTTGATGTGGAGTTTGGAAAGGTAACACAAAGGAAGATGGCTCCTGTGACAGCAAAACCCCATGTTCCTATCTAATGCTGCCTAAGGTTTGATTCTTGTCAAAATACAAATACCTAAGTCTAACAATAGGGAATTAAAGTATGTCCATAAAATAAACTGCTCTGAAGCAATTAAACGAAAATGTTGTTGATCTACACTTAGCAGAATGGAAAGAGTCCATATAGACTAATTCCTTTAAAAAATCAGTGTATGTGTGTTTGTAAATGAGGAGACAGGTTCACAAATAGGTAGAGTAGGTAGGTAGGTATAGATAGACATATAACTATTTACCAGTATGCTAAGAGAGGTTATCTATGGGTGATGACTAATATTATGAATGGATTTAATTTTACTCCTTCTAAATTATAAACAAAATTAAATACTCAAAAAAATAGAAAAATATATTAAATCAAGGGGTAAAGATAATATCAAAGGCCCTAGAAAGCAATAATTATTTACATCAGTGCTTTTAACCACTTGAGACTCAGACATCCCTGAAAAGCAGATGAAATCTATGAAACCTCTCTCCAGAACAAAGCACATAAGCAATACACACACACTTTGCATGTGATTTTATAGGGTTCACTGACCCACTGACTCCAGGTTAAGACCCCAATTTATACCATCATCTGTCATCACCATTTGGCATGCATGTTAAGAACAAGAGAAATGGGAAAGAGCTGTGGATTTCAAGCACCAAAGAGGGGAAAAGGGTAAATCAAGACAGCTAAGACAAAGTTGACCTAGGGCCATAATATTTTTAACATTTGGCCTTTTTTAAAAAATAAATGATATGAGCCACTGCTGAACTAATGTTGCATCTCTACAACCAAAAAACATCAGGTTGTGAGAAAACAGAAAAAAAAAAAAGCTGTTTTGCTGTTTTGTGTCTTGCTGCAACCTAGTGATTAAAGCCATTTTAACAATTGAATTAGATCACCAAGAGCTTTAAAATGACTTTCCTTATAGCCAACTCATTCACATACTATAAAAACAACCCAAATCTCCTAAAGCCAGGATAATTACATAATGCAACATTTTTAGAAGAGGAACTAAACAATAACTTCTCTAATTGAAACCCCGGTGGGGGATCTGAGATAAGTACAATGGAACTGCCTAAATTGGAAGCCTTCCAGCCTTAGCACCCTGATCTTTAGGAAAGTGCCAGGAAATTGTCTCTGTACAAGGCATTCCCTAACTGCCATGGAAAACAAGCACAGAGATAAGGGATTGTAAAATAGCAGTACTTTTACAATTCATCAGGCTAGGAAGTTCACTTTCTCAAATCAGCTTATCACTTACACATATTTCTTTAAGTATATTTCCAAAAATTTACAAAAACCTGAAAAATAAAAAGCATGTGAGTAAACAATTAGATAAATCCAGATTGTGGGGCATTCTACAAGATAACTGTCCAAGAACTTCAGGAAGGTCAATATCAGGAAACATACAGGCCAAAAATGCAATGACTGAAAATGTAAAAGACAAAAGAAGCCTAACAATACATTTATGAACCTTGATGGGATCCTGTATTTTTTTCTAACACGTCTAAAAAGATATTAAGAAAATCTAAACATAGATCACGAGCTGCTTGTTAGATGATATTAGGAAATTACAGTTAGTTTTCTAAGTTGTGATAATGGGTGTGTGGTTGTGGGAAAGTGTCCTGATCCAAGGAGATGAAGGGTGAAGAAATTCATGACGTCTGCATTTAATAAAACTGAGAAAACTTGTAAACATGCGAATAGGCTAATAATATTTAGTCACTGCACTGCTCCTTTGACTTTTTTTTTTGTAATTTTCAATACTTTCCAAATGAAGAGAGGCAAAAGGGCACACATAGCCTTTTCTGGTTTTTTATTTTTTTAATTTATTTATGCATATAAGAACTGGGGTAGAAGCCAGAGGTGTGGAGGGTGAGAAGATTCACCAGAGACAGAGTGGGGAACAGAACAGGCAGATAGACCGAAATACACTGCTGAGGGGAGCAGTGGGTGAGACAGGAGAGGTCTGCTGTGCCATGTGGGTTGCTCCCTGGCCGTCCCAGAGATCGAACTTGTGCTGCAGAGGCTGCGGATTGCTTCATAGTGCTGTGCTTAACCCCTTGAGCCACCAAGGAGGCCCCCTTTTCTGTTTTTTAAAGTGCTGCCTAGTCTAGCAAGATTAAGATCCCCTCCAGATTGCAAGAATTACAGCAATAGTGTAGCGCCCATCTAAGTAATTTCGCATAGCATTTTTTCACACACACTTAGCAAAGCACTGAAACAGAGGCCTGTGTCAACAAGACACCAGAAAAAGGTGATCTGCTTGTCTCAGCTCTACACACAGTTCTAGACGGAAGAATACAAAAGAAGCTCTTCTGTTTTACCCATTTAATATTCAGTGAAGACAAAGTTATTTCATTTTTTTTTTTT